TGGAAAGAGTTCCAATTTCACTGACATTATAAACTGCCAAAGTAAAGGTAACTACGGTGTGCACTTCTTAGGTTAATTTATGAGATTTCTTGACATGAAGAAGCTCACTGTTGGCCAGGTTTGCAGCTGTGCCTCTCTTTTTTTATGGATCGAGTCACAGATGGTCTTACTTCCTTCCTTTCTCAAACAGGGGCCAGTGTGACAAATGATGTAACAGTCATAAGAGAGCCAGCTAAAGATGCAAGGTCAAGAAAAAGAAATCCTATTTTTCTCCAGTGTCATACAGTGCTTCAGCTATACCTTCTCCTGCTGGAGTAAACAGGAGTTCTGGCCTTTATGAATAGCAAACCTGTTTTATTAACAATGTAATTTTTAACCATCTCTCCTTACCAAATCCATTAAGCACTCTAAACTGAGATACTCCATTTTTCAGCCAATTATGTAGATTACAGAAGAATACCTGCAATAAACACAGGCAGTACAGCACTTGAACTTTTTAGAACTCCCCCCTCTGAAAATATTTTCATAATGTTTTATTATTTGTTTGTTAAATTGTTGCCATGAAGTATTAGAAACTATTCTTTCTTCAACATCCTGCTTCACTGCAGAAAAAGTGTTTTGAGAAACTTTGCCATGAACTGTTTCAATTTTTGAAAGAAAATTTCTGTTCCTTGTTGAGATCAGCTATGTGGTTTACACATAGCACTTTTTTTTTTTTTTAATAAAAAGAAGCAAAAAGTGCTGGATTGTGCTACTAAAGTTATAGGAAAAGACAAATTAGTTGCTAAGTTTGCCTTTTTCCTTTTGATTCTGCTTTCTGGAAATTCCTCTTCTGGTACCCAGTGTTGCCCCAGAGTAACTCTGAGTCAGTGAAGAAAATCCAGACTTCTCTTGTTATCAAACAGCAGTTACCAAGTGCAGAAACGTGGCCTTTTTGGATTAGGATTAACAACATTTGTACAATGAGAGCCTTGTAAATAGGTTAGACTGTGCAATCAAATGCTTGGAAGGTAATTAAGCACTCCTTGTTCCCTTTGTTCCTACCTCAGTCCATTAACTTTTTGTCTTGGCATTCTCAGACAGTAGAAGTCCTGATGTAATTGAACTTTAATATGGAATGCTCTGATGCTGTTAAATGTACCATATCCTTTCAATATGTTCTTTATAATACACAATCTTACATTATGTGATAAGCAGCTTTCCATCCATGCTGCAGTAACATAGATTCAAACATGTGATCTGATGTTTCAGTCATCACTCCTTCATGGGATATTTAGGTCAAGTTAATAATTTAGCATACAAGAGTGTTTATGTACTTGTTGGTCATCTAGACTTTAGCAATTCTGTCTGACTTTCCTGAAGTCTTCATAGTGGGATGATGCACATGTATGAACAAGACAATGCAAACTATCTCAAGCATAAAAAGAATTCTTTTGTGAGCATGTGGAGAGAGGACCTTTGTCAAGCCTGGCACAGTTTTGAAGATGATGTTTTGGGTTTTGCATACTTTCTCACACCAGTTCAGATTCATCTGCGAGACAGGATCAAAAAGACAAGGGGAAGGCACTAAGGGAGACTTAGGGAGACTCCCTCACTTAGGGAGACTGAAGGAATCATTGCCCATTACTTTACTGGCAAGCATTTGAACTCATCCAACAAACCTGATTTCCCACACCTTCAAGTTGAGACTAAATCCATCCTTATGAGCATTTTTATCTCTTAAACCCTAGCAAACTGCTGCAGATTTTCTGGAGCTTCGTACTCCTATCAGCCATGTGGGTGTTTTTATAGTACCATATCTAAGACAAATTGCATGACCTAATGTTTTAAAGGAAGAGTTCTTGAAGCAAATTATTTGAAGGCTCCAAGCTCATCCATTGTTGGCTCATGTGAAAATACAACGCTTTCCCATACCATTTAATTAGCACACTGAGACCATTCAATTTTAACTTGCATATCACTCTTTTCAGTCCTCCACTTATCTCAAAACCTGTCATCCCTACATTAAAGCTCTAACAGTTTCAGTCAAAAATGAAAATAAGAAAACTATGTCTTTATCTTTCATTAAAAAAAATAGATTGGATTCTTGTGTTTAATTTGACATGTCTCAATTGGAAATGTTTGCATTAGGTCTCACCTCTCCCATAGACATGTAATAGATATGTGCCATTTCAAGTCGTGTCCATAAACACAAGGGAGAAAATAACTTGGAAAATGGTTGTATCAAGTCAGTTGAGCAAATCAGTTTAACTGCTGGTCCAGTGCAAGATTCAAAATACAATGTACTTTGTAGAAAATCAGTACTCATTGCCTGCATATTGGTGTATTAATTAATTGAAAATTGATGTAACTGCATCTTAATGCATTATACCCTTGTGGATACTATGCACAGAAATGAATGTAGAAACTTCTGCAAATCAAATGCAACTGTCATTTTAAATGAGGAGGCTTCCTTTTTAAACACTGTGCATAGAATACATGACAGGTATGGGCCACCTTTTATTTTCTCCTTCTCTACAGCACAGTGCTTTAAGTGGAGAATTTTGCCCATAATTGATGAAGGGGCTGTGGGATCACAAAGCTCATTCTATTGTGATCATTTGGTGATTCCCTACCTAGTCTAGATATACGTGGTCTCTTAAGAGCACATTCTTCAGTGAAAAATACCTCTGCAGTTGTCAATCAAAGTGTGTACAATTCTTAAACCAGGAAGGCTGACTTCCCAAGGGCAACCTGCACTGCAGTGACATTTCAGTGTATTTACCTGTCCATCCTCTTTTCTCAGGTCCACAAAAGGTGGCTCAGGTTCCTCCCCTTCTGAGGCCAGGCCAGCGTGGCAGCACCCATCCTTCTTCCTCAGAGTCCTCAGAGCTGCTCTGCCACTTCAGCTCCTCTTGCTGCTCCTGATCGGGCTCACCTGCCTGGTGCCAATGACCAAGGAGGACTACAGCTGTACTATGGCAAACAACTTCGCCCGCTCTTTCCACCCTATGCTAAAATACATGAATGGTCCACCTCCGTTGTGAAGGAGACCTATGAGACAGCGGGTGACCTCACTGGAGTGTTAGCTGGGAGGCAGGATGGTTTTAAAGGGTGACAGGCTTTGGTGGGGCTCACCTGCCTGGTGCCAATGACCAAGGAGGACTACAGCTGTACTATGGCAAACAACTTCGCCCGCTCTTTCCACCCTATGCTAAAATACATGAATGGTCCACCTCCGTTGTGAAGGAGACCTATGAGACAGCGGGTGACCTCACTGGAGTGTTAGCTGGGAGGCAGGATGGTTTTAAAGGGTGACAGGCTTTGGTGTGGCTCCCTCCCTGTTTTAGCCACTGTTGTGTCCATATCATTCTCTGCTGGTACTCAGTAACGCATCAGTGTATCAGTATCAAACTGCACAGCATATTACCTGAGTAGCATCGTTTCAATACTCACATCTTGAGTACTATGGAGGTTTTGACTAGGAGGACTAAGAAATGTCCTTCTGTCCAGAAATCAGAATTTTTTAGCCACCTTATATCCAGGTCATTGCCCTCTACTATGCATAGCCAAGGACTTGATACTGTAGATCCTTTCCAGTGTGCTGCTCTAAATGAGCCATTAGCCACTCTTTGTTAAATACCCTCTAGTATCTACAGTATACAAAATAACCAATGCTAAAGAAATTTTAGAGTATTTGTAACATACAATTTTAGAAGATCTTGTATGGCAATGTATTATTTCTTGTGGTTTCTGTTTTGGGCATGGTGTTCTAACTTCTGTTTTGGATGCACAGGGTGTAAATCTGAGAAGCACTTTTTTAATGGATGTAATAAATAAGATCATAAAAGGTTTTATGAGGAAAAATGTTGAATGTCAAAGTTGAAAAACAAAGAACATATTTATGTATGTACAGTTTGCTAAGCCAGGTTTTGTTTGTATTAATTTCTTTGCATTTATTATAGATATCATAAAATATTTTGTCTACGTGCTTTTTAATGACAACTATGGAAACCTCTAAGTTTAGAATGAAATATGTATGGTATAAAAAATTAGAAGATGTACATATGCTGCATTTCTAAAAAGAATTTTTAAATGCTATAACAAATTAACGGTATTAGGTATATGTTTGAATGAGAAAATGTGGAAAACTTGACAAATTATAAAATACATGGGAAAGTATCACATAAGAAGTTGTGCTAATACTGAAAGCTGTTCATATTTTGTATTAATGATTGGTCATTGCAGGGTTTTTTTTTCCTCAAGCTGCTTCTTGAAACCTATATTTCTCTGTGTGTGTGTGTATGCACTCATGTGCAACCTTTGTCAATTCAGGTTGTACCAGTCTACACTGAAGCAGATATTTTCCTGTGGGTGTACTGGAAGCTTGTTAATATTCTCCATAGCATCTTAATACCAGGATGGATGTTTATGCTTGACCAGTTGTTAGTCTAGTGGAATATGCCCAATACATAAGTATAAATAGCAGAAAAAGAGAACAAATTTAAAACTCATGAATTTTCCAGAAATACTGCAGAAAACTTGCGGGCTGAGTAATGGCAGACATTTTTCCCAGCTTGTCAGTCAGAACTCGACCAAAACAGAAGTCTTTTTGCTTTTAAAAATATACAGAGCATGGCCCTAAACTAGCACTGCTTAATAAGTTTGGGGATTTCAAGCCATGACACACAATGTGCATTTTTCCAAGCTAAATGGTTTTACTTAGAATATATCAGCCTACCTAAGAGAAATAAAAAGCCAGAAGAAAATACAAGCACATTAGTTGCTGTTACATAGGATTTCTTTTCTGGGATGTCATAATTTGAACTAGCATGAGGGGAGGGCAGTGAGAAGTAATGTCCTACAACCTGAACTCCAGCACTTGGAGGAGCCAAAATAAAGCTTTCTTTCTAGATAAGTGTAACGGTAACATTATTCTGAAAGGGACTTTGTATATCAACAAAGCACCGTCAATATCTGAGACCCAGCATTGGACTGACACAAATATCTATGCTTTTCAAGGCTTAGTTTCCTCCATTGGGTATTCAGAAGTTATGCTAGGCTAGATTAGCATTCACAATCACTTACTCTAAGTAGACAAAATAAGGAACATACTTCTGCTGTTATTTGTAACAGGCCTGATAGATTACATAAAATTGACCCCTCCTCTCTTTTCTAATAAGTTTCTCTTTGGTGACATAATTTAGTCACTTGTAATCAGTGCACCTATGAATAATTTGGTAGCTTGCTCAGACCTGTTAGGCCAGAGCTCTGCATGCTTTAGACATCCTTTCATCAGCTAGTCCCTGGTTTTGGTTGTTAATATTTTGTTGAAAGATATTTTTGTTATCTTTTAAAAGAAAACACTGTAAAGAGTAAAAAGACTAATTTAGTGAGAAATAAGGATCTAAGCCTGACTTTGCCTCCTATTTTCCAGCCAACTATTGATAATCTCATGGAAGTAGATTTTATCTAAAGGGTAGTAGATACCCTGGATCAACCTACGGTAGAGCATCTGTTGAAGGAACCAGGCAAAAAGTTGCAGGTAAAACCTGTGTTCATTTCTTACAATATTTAAAAACTGAGGGAGAGGCAGGGAGGTTTGAACAAAGGTGGTTAGGAGAGAAGAGTGCAAGGAACAAAGTTTGATTGATGCCAGATGCAATTAATAAAGTACTTTATCAAAAGTTTACAGGGTAGCAACTGGCATGCCTTGAATTGCATACTGACATTTAAATTTTGCCAGCTATTTTGTCACTCTTGTTGCCCCTGCTCACCTTGGTTGTTCAAATGCTTTCCCCACCTTCCTAGGGAGGAATGGCATGTGTTCTACAGAAGGAAAGCAGAATTTGTACACTTCACTCAAGCTCCCAGATAAGTTTTGGGGAGCAGTCTCTAAAGTGAAGCATCAGGGGGCAGTGGTTCCATCTTGTTCATGATGTTTGTCATGCCTTTTTATTTCCTCTCACCTCTTGAAAAGTTCGGTCTAGGGAGTATGAGAAAGTGATGAACTGCCAGAGGAGTGGAAGTTAAGCTGGTTAACTAGGCAAGAAAAAGCTGTTGCAAAATCATAGGAACTTTTAATAATTAATTCCTTAAATAGAGTTAAGGCTAAGGGGGAAAAGAAGTGACGATAATTAAGGCAAGTAAAGAATTTGAAAGGTCACATCATCAAGTGGCAGCAGCCCTTTTGAATTCAGTGTATTTTTGGCTGATGATTACCTGCAGGGCATACACCCACTGTCTCACCTCTGCCCTGCTGATTAGTCTGCAGGCAGAGTGTACCTGCTGCACCTTGCTTCCATTCAGAGCAGAGCTGCTGCTGTTTATAGCCTCAAACTCTGAGCTCTAGGCATAGAGCTAACTGTATTTTCAAGGTATTGCCTGTTAATTTGAAAGAGAACTTGGATATAGAGAACTTTGTTTTGACCCTGAGTGATCTGCTCACACAAAGCAATTTTCCCAGTAAGCAACAAACTCACTATAATACTTGTGAATAAGGCAGTCACAGACAGTGAGAGACACACATTAGGAAAATGTCATAGACAAGAAAAATGCCTGCTTGTATATTGTAAATGTCCCATAACTTCAAGGATAGGAATGTCAGTGTGTAAGCTAATGTCTCAAGGTAATCACAGGACATTTATGCCAGTAGCTTAGAGGATTTCTTGAGTGCCACTTTGGACTTCTTTCTTCAGGAACTTTCAGTCTCAACTCTAGACAAAATCTACACCTGTCCAGTTAAAGTGATCTGAGCAATATGTTCCCCCAAAAGTGAATTTCTTGGCCCTGAACCAATTCCATTACAACTTCAAATGTGATTTTTCAGAACTGGATCTTGATCCTAAAAAGAAGTCAAAATGGTAACAAAGGGCCAGGCCCATCACAGGATCCTGTTAAAATACGCTCCATCACAAGAGCACCACTGACTTGAAGGTCTAGCTTGAATTGCAAACCCCAGTGGAGTATAAACGTATGCACTGATTGCCACAGCATGAACTAGGGCAAATGGGGAAACTGTAGGGATGGGGGGTAAAAACCCACAGCCAGAATTCTGTCAAGCACCACAACCAGTGGCATCCTGGTAAATGTTAAGCTCCTCTCCCTGTCTACCTCTGTCTTGTTGTGATGCTGTCACATGAGTTGTATACAAACTTTTTTAAGAAATACAGAAGTTAGAGTCTGAGAAACCCCATCTCTGTGCTAAGCCTGCAACCCATCATCTACTCTCTTTCTGAAGCACCTCACGTGCTTGGGCTCCTCAAATAAGAGGGACTGATTTCCAGTAATGTGCCGTAAGCCTTGGCTGCAAGGCATAATGAAAGGCAGTACAGGAGCTGCAGCACTCTGGGTCTGTGTTAAAGGTACGTGTTCATGATAGTATAATGATAATAGTGGAAAATAATGGTCACCATTTGGCCTGAACTTACTGCATCAGTTTATGGAGTTTCATTTGTGGACTGTGCTTTACCAAATCTGAAGGCAGACTGAGGAGTAGTATTTAGAGACATCTGACAGTGTTAGGAGTCAGGGACCTGAATTTGACAGAAACAGTGTGCCCTTATTCCTCACAGCTGTGAGCATGATGATATCCATTGCTTATCCCCCACCCCATTCCAGCAGTGATAACAGCTTCATTCTGCAACAGATTGATAGTTTCTCATCACCAGTTTGCCACCCTTCCAGCTCCACTGCAAATGCTGCAAACGCCTGCAGTCTTGCCTTCTCCTTCCTTAGAACTGTCTCCTACAGCTGGTTATTGAATGAAGACAAAGCTGCTGGGATTGTCTTATGAGCAGTCATCCCTGGCCCTCAAGGTCTTGTGGTTGAGAAATCTGTTTACAACTGATAGTATCTCTCAACATGCTCATCATCATCATGTACAACTGAGTGGCGCTGTCTGCATATTCAAATGAAGCATAAGCATAACAGAAACTGGCTGGTCACGGTCTTCAAACTACAGATGCTATTAGAATTTAGCAAATGTAGGAAGATTCTGAGAAATAAGCAGAGTCAAGGAGAAAAGATTCAGGTTTTGAAGAAAGGGATGAGAGCACAGATCTTGCAACTTACACTTCCCTCCCATATTTTATTTGGTATTTAAAGCAGCGGACTGTGGAAAAGAAAATAGAAG